GACCAACCGGCCGGTTGGCCTTGTGTACTGGGCAGACCAACCGGCCTGTTGGTCCAGTGTATCGGCCGGACCAACCAGCCTTTTGGTCCAGTGGACCGGCCAGACCAACCGGCTTGTTGGTCCAGTGGACCGGCCGGATGAGCCGGCCTGTTGGTCCAGTGGACCGGGCGGACCTACCGGCTTGAAGGTCCAGTGGACCGGCCGGATCAACTGGCCCATAGGTCCAGTCTGTCAGAAATAACTGAGCAGGAATGAATAAACTAGAACAGAGTTTGGTACAAGTAGTAAACCCTAACTTTGTGTACCCCCTAAGGTGTAACCCACTACAGCCTAGACAATATAAACATGCAATGTTTGACACACCCCCATAGGCGCAGTGGGAGACAACCACAGGGTCACAAGACCAGTCAAAGCAAAGTAAAGCAAGCTCAGGGTGGATCTCAAGGATTCCACACAAATTCCGAGCACAAGCAAGTGGTCTCAAGACCAGTTCACATGCAGGTTTATAACAAAGCAAGAGATACAGTGATCACAACCTAGCAAAAGTAAACAAGTAGGCATATATATATAGTGATCACAGTACAAGCAAGGTCAAGAGGTAAGCAAGTGAGGCCCAGTAGGTACAAGGCCTAGTAGAGTGCAAAAGCGCTGATGGTCACAAGGCTGAAGCGCCTTGGTGAACACATCAGCAGTGTTGGCCTCCGTGGCCACGTAACGCAGACAAAGCTGACCACGCTGCTGCAGCTCTCGAGCAAGGAAGTACCGCAGAGCGATGTGCTTCGTTCTGTGCTCCAGTCTGTGCTCCTCACACAAGGCAATGGCAGCCTTGTTGTCAACGTACAGCACTGGAGGAGAACGAGGCCGCTCTCCGAGGTCGGTCAGCAGGTAGGTCAGCCAGCGTAGCTCCTGAGCAGCCATGGCTGTGGCGTAGATTTCAGCCTCACAACTGGAGCTGAGAACAGAAGAAGAGCGAGTAGAACGCCAAGAAACTGAGCCAGAGCCAAGGCTGAAGGTGTAACCCTGGGACGACCGCTGAGTAGCCTGGTCGTCTGCCCAAGAAGCGTCTGAGTGCCCTGTGAGAACAACCCGGTCTCGCCCTCCAAGCACAAGCCCCATGCCCGACGTACTGCACAAGTAGCGCAACACCCTCTTAGCAGCATCCATGTGCTCCTTCCGGTGACGGCCAGGAGCGACATAGCGTGCTAGGATGCTAAGAGGGTATGCAAGGTCAGGTCGAGTGCAGGTCATCAGGTACATGAGGCAGCCCACAAGCTCTGGATACGGGCCACTCGGCTCTACGGACTCATCCGAAGGCAGAGCTGAGAGCGAGTGACCGGTAGGCAGAGGAGTGGACTGAGGCGAGGAGTACGTGAAGCGGAAGCGCTGGAGAACCTGCTGCACCATGTGTGACTGAGTCAGGGTGATGGTGCGCCGCGCTCTGTCCCGGGTGATCCGCAAGCCAAGATAGCTCGTCAGCTCACCCAGGTCTGTGCACGTGTGTCTCCTCTGCAGCTCCGACTTCACGTGAGCGAGTGCCGCGGTGTCAGCAGTGGCAAAGACCAAGTCGTCGACGTACACGAGGATGTAGAACGGCGGCAGCGAGGTGTCGGTGCGTAGAAACAGCGACGGGTCAGCAGTAGAGGGAGCGAACCCAAGAGCCGCAAGTGTCGTCCTCAGTGTGTCGTGCCACTCACGTGGCGCCTGGCGGAGACCGTAGACCGGCCGCTGAAGCCTCCACTGGGTGCCAGGAGGAAATGACCCAGTGAAGCCAGGGGGGCGGCGCAGCCAGATCTCCTCGTGCAGGCTGCCCTGCAAGAAAGCAGTGCTGAAGTCAAGAGAGTGAAGCTCGTAGTCGCGGTGAGCGGCTATGTGCAGCAGCACCCGAAGAGTAGTCATCTTCGGGGTGGGGGAGAAGGTCTGAAAGAAGTCTACTCCCTCTCGCTGACTGAAGCCTCGAGCCACGTAGCGCGCCTTGAAGACAGGTGGAGAACCCGGCGGCCGCTTCACCCTGAAAATCCACATGCCACTGACGATGTTCGCCCCAGGAGGGGGAACCTCGTCTACGTAGGTGCCTGTGGACTTCCAGGAGGCCATCTCTGCGTCCATGGCTGTCTGCCACTGAGAGGAGTAGGGACCCGCTATCGCCTCAGCGTAAGAGCGTGGGGTCGGGATGTCTGGTGCATCCGGGTCTCCCTCAGGGGCAACTAGCAAGGACACGAGACGGGGCAAAGCAGCAGCAAGGCAGTGGAACTCCTCCTGTCTGTCCTCAAGGACGTCCGTGCCGAGGGCACACTCACCCCCGACGGACGGAGGACAGGCAGACGCAGACTCAGACCTAGCGACAAGGCTGGCAGCGTAGTCTAGGCGACAGCGAGCAGCAAAGTCAACCAACTCAGCGACCAGAGCAGACGCAGCAGAGGACTCAAAGGTCGGGTCAGTGACAACTGTAGCGAGGAGACGCGTAACAGTGGGACTGGCAGCACGACGGGAGTCAGACTCCGGGTCAGGAAGAGTAGGAAGAGAGGACGTAGGAGGAGACGGCAGCGGGACACGCTGCGGAGCAGTGGAGGGACGCAGAGTCATGTAGTGAGTGCCAGGGACAGGAGGAGGACGCTCACGTGGGACACGACGACCAGTGCGAGCAGTACGAACAGGCGACGCAGGACGAGACTCAGGCTCACGACGCTCTGTAAGACCTCCTGTGGGACCAGCGTAAGGGGAGGGAGCAGGGAGAGGCGAGACAGGCGGTAACTGTGACTGCGGCTGGACAGGCAGAGGACACTCGACGGAGGAAGGAGGACAAGGAGGAGGAGCCTGACCAAGAACCTGCTGAAGGAGCGGTACGAAGTACGGTCGCGGCCGCGCAGCGTCTCCAGAAGCAGCAGGGACACCAGTGGCAGCCCCAACGCCCGAGTCCTCAGCACCAGCAGCAGCTCCAACGCCCGAGTCCTCAGCACCAGCAGCAGCACCACCGGTCGGGTCCTCAGCACGAGCAGCAGCTCCAACGCCCGGGTCCTCAGCACCAGCAGCAGGGGCACTGGTCAGGTCCTCAGCACCAGCAGCAGCACCACCGCTCGGGTCCGCAGCACCAGGAGCACCACTACGAAGACTGCAGCGCCGCGTGTACCACTCGCGGATCACCTGAATGGGGGGGAGCTCCTGGGTAGGAGGGGAAGTACCGGGACGAGCTCCAGAAGCACCTCTCCGGAGGCGGCAGTACTCGAGGTACCTCTCCTGCAGCTGCTGGGAGGAGAGGGCTCCTCCAGATGGAGTACCCCCAGACTCAGCACCCCCAGACTCAGCACGTCCAAACTCAGCACCACCAGGCTCCGCACCTCCAGGCTCCGCACCTCCAGGCTCAGCACCCCCAGGCTCCGCACCTCCAGGCTCAGTACCTCCAGGCTCCGCACCTCCAGGCTCAGCACCCCCAGGCTCCGCACCTCCAGGCTCAGCACCCCCAGGCTCCGCACCTCCAGGCTCAGCACCCCCAGGCTCCGCACCTCCAGGCTCAGCACCCCCAGGCTCCGCACCCTCAGACGCAGCACTCCCAGGCTCAGCACCCCCAGACGCAGGACGCGAGTCAACAGCTACCTCGACAGGCTCACTCGGGTCTACCTGGGACACACCTGAGGGAGCGGCACCCTGAGGGGGGAGGGGGTCTGGTACCTCAGCACCTGGAGCGAGGAAGAGAGGCGGGGGGGGGAGCGGGGCAGTGCGGTAGGGGAAGAGGCGGTAGAAGGGGACGGACTCGTCAAAAGTGACGTCCTGAGAGGCCAGAACCCGGCGCGAGGTGACGTGGTAAAACTGCCATCCAGGCGCGTCGGGAACAAAGCCAAGAAAGACACAGGGAACAGCGCGACGCGAGAGCTTGTCCGCGGACGTGTCGCGGACAAAAGCTCGAGATCCCCAGACCCGGAAACGCGACGCATCGCCAACCTCTCCCGTCCACCGTAGAGTCGGGGAAGTCTCCGGCAAGGAGACACGGGGCCAGAGGTTGAGCTGATGCGCTGCGTACCGGACTGCAAACGGCCACAGAAAGTGGGGAGCAGCCGCATGGGTCAGGGAGGTACGAGCGACCTCCATGACTAAGCCAATGCGGCGCTCAGCAACCCCATTCTGCTGTGGAGAGGCCGGAAGCGTGTACGACTGCTCAATGCCGTGCTCAGCACAGTAGGCTGCCAAGAGGTCGGAGGCGAACTCACCACCCCTGTCAGAGTGCAAGCGCAGGACAGGAAAGTCCGAGTGAAAGCGCTCGCCTAGCTGGAGACGGGCTCGGCTGATCCAGGGGATCAAAACACCAGGGACGTCACCCTTGGCGCGCAAGGGGAAGACCGTGGTGTAGCGCGAGTAGTCGTCAACAACTATCAGGAAGTACCTCTCCTGACCCTGACCACGGACGCGGGCTGGGCCCCACACGTCCATGTGGAGCGTCTGCAGGGGAGCAGTCGTCGGGGGAAAGGAGGAGGAGTGAGGAGCGGCGCGCTGCCGCCCCTCGACACAGGGAATGCAGTCAGGAGCAGGGGAGTCAGGAAGGGGAGGGAGCACCCTGGGAAGACCAGCAACAAGGTCCCGTTTGTGCATGGCCCGCAGGCGCTGCACAGACGGGTGACCAAGGCGGTGGTGCCAGAGGACGGTGTCGTTCGCCAGAGAGCGACACGAGCAGGGGGCGGACAGCTGACCTGACGCTGACGCAGACGCAGCTACCTGAGGGGACTCAGTGGTCAGTGTGTACAGGTCAGACCCCGGCTCTCGAGTGAAAGTAGCCAGGTGGCGGCCCGTCCGAGCACACGTGCAGTGAGTCACACGCTCGTAGGCAGGGGTGAACTGGTGAACACCCGAGTCCTGGAGCGCACTACCTGCCACCAAGTTCGTGGAGAACGAGGGGAGGTAGAGACCTGAGAGCTTGCCGGACGGAACCGCTGGACACGGAAGGGTGGTGGAGGAGGTCGCAAGGACCGGACCCCCAGAGGGGTCAGCAAGAGAGACAGCAACCGGCCGAGCTAGAGGCTCAAGGACAGTGCGGTCACGAAAGAAAGAGCGAGAAGCACCTGAGTCAAGTGTGAAGGTGTGCAGTGCTGCAGTCGACTCAGTACCAGGGGGCACAGACGCAGAAGCACCTAGAGCAGCAGCTGCAGTAGTACCTGTGGAAGCAGACACACTAGCACCTAGAGCAGCAGCAGGGCTGGCCTGAATGCCCGGGTCGGGCGGAACACGCAAGTACTGAGCACCCTCTCCACTAATAGACATCGCATACATGGCAGTGAGAATAGCATCAAAGTCAAGTGCCCAAATATCAACACCCTTCCTGAGCAGATCAGCCCAGCGCGGCAGCTCACCCCCACCAGGAAACTGAGTGCGCCACGCATCGTTGAGGCGGGCGAAGCAGCGCTCCGTCTGGTGCGGCCCCCCACACGTCTGGCCAGTGCGGTCACCTGTACGAATAACGTACTGGCAGGTGACGCTGCGCCGCGCATACCACTCACGGGCGGCCTGAAGGGTCGGGGCAGGCTGCTGACTCTGACCGCCCGCCGGGCCTCCACGACCACCACCCCCTCCGCCTCCGCCCCGGCCACCTCCACCCCTGCCGCTGCCACGACCACCTCCGCCTCCGCTGCCACCTCCGCCCCTGTCACCACTCCCAACACCGCTGTCACCTCCACCACCGCCGCCACTAGCCTCTCCAGTCGCACCTCCACCGCCACCACCTCCACCCCCGCCTCCTCCGCCACCACCCCCACTCCTGCCACTCCTGCCCCTGCGTCGTCCGCCTGAAGCAGACGCAGCCCCGACCTTCTCAGCACCAAGGAGGTCGACAGCAGCAGCAGAGGCGACAGAGGGGAGGAGGGGGGAAGGGGAGCACCCCTCGAAGAAGGGGCCGCGGGGGTCGCCACGAGAGGTGCCTACAGCGACGATACTAGCCTCGGCTGCAAGCAGTTCCTTCTCGAGGAGGGCTATGGTGAGCTCAGTGGGGGAGCGAGAGAGGAACTGGTCCCTGACAGGGCGCAGAGAGTCAGGGAGGCGGGTGACAACGTGGTAGAGAGTGATCCAGAGCGGGGGGGGGTTGCTAGCGAGGAACTCATCAGGCATGGCAGCGCGAAAGCGAGCCTCACTAGTCTTAAGGTGGGTGATGAGGTCTGCGACAGTGTGAAAAGAGGCTAGGTCGGGGAACAGGTAGGGGAGAGTGAGGCGGCCTAGTGTGGCAGAAGCGGGTGAGGAGTAGCGGGCCACTACAGCTGTGTAGAGGTCCTTAGCAGTCTTGCACTGGCCGAAGTGCTCGCGCTCATCTAGCGGCAGGGAGTTGCGAATAGCAAAGCGAGCGTGCGCGTCACGGGTCTGCCACTGTGAGCGCTCAGTTGGGGGGGCAGTAGCGAGTGGGGCGGTCGCATGGCCGAGAGCGTGGTCGTACAGTGTAATATCTTCCTTGGCAGTGAGCTGTAGGAAAAGGTGCAGATCATCTAGCCAGGTTTCGAATTTGACCGGACGGCCCTCGGCGTCGAAAGCTAGAACAGGAGGACTAGCCATAGCGACAGCGGCAGTAGTAGAAGCAGTAAAGTCACTGAACAGGCGTGCGCAGGGTCAGCAGGGCCGGTGGGGCCTACGGACTGTAGTGGCGCACAAGCAGCAGTAGCAGGAAGTGTAGTAGTAGGATCTGCAGTGGTGCACAGGCGCAGCAGGCGGCAGCGAGAGCCGGCGCAGCAGGGGCGGGCTCAGCAGCGGTGATACGCGGGCGGCAGCGGGCGCAGCAGCGGCGGTGCGCGGGCGGCGGCGGGCTCAGCAGCGGCGGTGCGCGGGCGGCGGCGGGCTCAGCAGCGGCGGTGCGCGGGCGGCTGCGGGCTCAGCAGCGGCGGGCCGGGAGCAGTGCGGGCAGCTTGTGGGCCGGCGGCGGTCAGCGCACGAGCCGCGCAGGCTCAGCGCGGGCTGCGCGGGCTGCTCGCGGGCTGCGTAAGCGGGTCGCGGGCGGCTCGCGGGGGTTCGCGGGCAGGTCGCGGGCTGCTCGCGGGCAGTTCGCGGGCTGTGCGCGGGCTGCGCGGGCTGGTCGCGGGCTGCGCAGGCGGGTCGCGGGCTGTGCGCGGGCGGTTCGCGGGCTGTGAGCGCGGCGCGCTGTGCGGTTCGCGGGCGGCGTGACGGGGCCGATCGGGGCGCTAAGGGGCGACGCGACGGGGGCCGTGAGAGGCCGCTAAAAAAAAATTTCGACGGGGCCGCAGGGCCGCTAGATCGTGCTAGATCGACGGGGCCAGCGGGGCCGGAAACAAGCGAAGGTAAGCAGGTAGGTAAGTCGGTGGGCCCTAAGAACAGTCCTAGTGAAGGACCTGCTCTGATACCATGTCAGAAATAACTGAGCAGGAATGAATAAACTAGAACAGAGTTTGGTACAAGTAGTAAACCCTAACTTTGTGTACCCCCTAAGGTGTAACCCACTACAGCCTAGACAATATAAACATGCAATGTTTGACACAGTGGACTGGGCGGACCAACCGGCTTGGTCTAGTGGACCGGCCGGACCAACTGGCCAATTGGTTGAGTGGACCGGCCGGACCAACCGGCCTGTTGGTCTAGTGGACCGGGTGGACCAACCGGCCTGCTGGTCTTGTGGACCGGGTGGTCCAACCGGCCTGTTGGTCTAGTGGACCGACTGGACCAACTGACCAGTTGGTCGAGTGGACTGGCTCGACCAACCCGTCTGTTTGTAAGAGTACGTCTACGTTCGACATATTTCTCATTTCCATATTTTTACGCTGAATTATTCTCCTTATTTTCCTCTTAATTCACTTTAATCGGACCACTTTGCAATTATTTCACTTGTTCTGTATTTTCTGCACCGACCATTACATTATACGGCACCGACAACACCGACGGTGATGGACAAGGCGTAATCTTGCCATAATTCAAAGTGCCAATGGGCTTGCGTGCTAATGCGCTCTAGTGTTAATTTCTATCCCATAAGAGCGCGTTCTTCGCTTGTTTCTATGTATTTCTAAGTATAAATACACCTTTTGCTCACCTTTAGTGCAACATTCTTGAGTGGAAAACGATCCTGCGACACTTGGTAATCAGAGCCGTTTTCACTCGCGGAGTTTCAGCTAAGCGTGTGACAGGAAATTCCCTGCTTTAAAAAACCGCCTGGGGTGAAGAATTCGGCACCGACGCTGGTAAGCACTAGATTCCGCATTTTTGAATGACCCCCCTCGCGCATTTTTTTAACAGGAGTGAGTTCAACTATTGGCGAAAGCGTTTGCGACATGGCGACGATCATCGCGGATTGTCAGGACCTATTTTGAGCGGTGTAGAAGTAGCAAAACCAACGCGCGACGGATCTAATGAGTTTGGCGAAGATTGCGACAAAAGCAGAATCGATCGTGACTTTGCAGCACCCAATTCCTTTGATGGGGAAAACAACGCACGGCGCTGGCTTTTGGCGATAAAAATTTATTTTGCCGCCATTGGATGGATAGCACCTGAACTCGTCAGAAGCATATTTAGTTTCGCAGCAACACTTCTGCGCGGATCAGCAACCAAGGTGGAGCGACGTAGCAACAGTTCCCTGTGAGGTTACTAGGTTTCGAGCCAATAAATGCAGCATTAATCGCCCGCGACAAGATTCATCAACATCAACAAACTAGGAGCTTCGCGAACTACACGCAACAAATGGAGGATTTTTTCAACCGCATTCCCGACGTCATGGAAGGCGAAAATATTGGAGCATTTATTGCGGGCTGAAAAACAGTCACGACAACACGTTGCGGCCGCAAATTGGAGCAGCTACAACGACGTCGTATCGGCAACAGAGCGTTTCGACGCAATCATGATCGGAATATGATACTTTATGTACAAGCTAGACGACATGGAGGACGCTTAGCTATCCCCACGTGCGCCGACCACATGGAACTTGATCGAATCGACCCGAAGGCGAGACCAAAGAAGAACAAATTTGTGTGTTCTTTCTGTTGTAAACCAGGACATTGCGAGTTGTCGGTCCGATGGACCGGGTGGCCTCTTGGTCAACTGGTTCAGCTTGACCAACCGGCATGTTGGTCCAGTGGACCAGATGGACCAACTGGCCTGTTGGTCCAGTAGACTGGGTGGACCAACAGCCCTGCTGGTCTTGTGGACCGGGTGGACCAATCGGCTTGCTCGTCCAGTGGACCTGGTGAACCAACCGGCCTGGTCGTACAGTGGACCGGGTGGACCAACCGGCCTACGCGTCCAGTGGATCGGGTGGGCCAACTAGCCTGCTGGTTCAGTGGAACGGGTGGACCAACCGGCCTGTTGGTCCAGTGGACCGGTTGGACCAACCGGCTTGTTGATCCTGTGGACTAGATGGACCAACGGCCTGTTGGTCAGTGGACCGGGTGGACCAACCTGCCTGTTGGTCTTGTGGACCAGGTGGACCAACCGCCTCGCTGGTCTTGTGGACCGGGTGGACCAATCGGCTTGCTCGTCCAGTGGACCGGGTGGACCAACCGGCCTGGTCGTACAATGGACCGGGTGGACCAACCGGCCCGCTCATCCAATGGACCGGGTGGACCAACCGACCTGCTGGTTCAGTGGGTCGGTCCGATGAACCAACAGGCCTATTGGCCCAATGTACTCGGTGGATCAACCGGCCTGTTGGTCTAGTGGACCGGGAGGACCAACTGGCCTACTGGTCAAGTGGATGAGGTGGACCAATCGGACTGCTGGTCAAGTGGACAGGGTGGACCAACGGCCTGCTGATTCAGTGGATCGGGTGGACCAACCGACTTGCTGGCTCAGGGCCTGCTGGTCCATCGGACTGGGTAGACCAATCGGCCTGTTGGTCCAGTGGATCGGGTGGACCAACCGGCTTGCTGCTCTAGTGGACCAGGCGAACTAATCGGCCTGCTCGTCCAATGGACCGGGTGGACCAACCGGCCTGCTCGTCAAGTAGACTTGGTGGACCAACCGGCCTGCTCGTCTAGTGGACCGGGTGGAGAACCGGCCTGTTGGTCCAGTGGACCGGGTGGACCAACCGGCCTGCTTGTTGGTACAGTGGGTCGGGCGGACCAACCGGCCTGCTGGCTCAGTGCCTACTGTTCCAATGGACCGGGTGGACCAACCAGCCTGTTGGTCCAGTGGACTGTTGGTGCAACCTACGGTTTGCACTCGGCTTGTTGTCCGTGTGCGTGCATGCATGTGTGCATGGAGTGGTATGAGTGCATGAAATAAATATATATTTCATGCTTATAATGGTGTGTGAATGATGGGTCATGATGTCGAGTGTGTGTGTCAAGTCAATAGCGAATTATCGCTAGTCGCGTATAACGCGGTCATTTTGTGTGTCCCGCGAGGTTTTTTTTTTTTGTCGTGCGCGGATTCTATTTTGTCGCTTGTCGAACGTTCGGCGTGTCGCAGGTGTGTGCAGCAGACCCATCAAGAACTCAAGGATGAGTTTTGTGATGAAGAACCCGAGCCTTGGTTCAAGCTTCAAGTGTTTTCGAAGCTCGCCAAAAGGCTACACCTCAAGATATTGAAGATAGTTACATTACAAAGTGTAGTGTAACATTTCAGTTGGTGTAGGCCCTTGTGAAGGGTAGTTTCGAGACCCTTCTTGGTTGGGGACAGTGTGGCACTGTTCCCCATCACTGTACCTCGGCTCTTGGGGTTTGTAGGAGCTGGGAGTCCTTCCCAACTCGCAACTCTTCCTAGCTGTTCGTAATTGTGTTTTTGTAAGACTATGTTGCTGCCATAGTGCCGTTCGTTCAATCTGACGCTGTGTCGTCAACTCATTATGAAATCGTGCGATCTAAATTGCCTACTGTAGGGCACGTTAAAACGCTCCAGATCCAACTTGTATGAGGTCAATTGGAGCTGTGACCAGATCGCTATGATCGTTTAAAGCCGCTGTGCAGAAACCTGACTGCGCACTCTATCTTTGGTTCTAGGCACATTGAAGCCTATTGAAGCCTATTGTGCTTACAACAAGTGGTATCAGAGCCTCTTGGAGTAGCTACGACGATGGCTGGACCTGAAGAGAGGGGTGGCAGAGGTGCTGGAGGCAATGGAGAAGCCCAAGCACAAGGCCAAGCCCGTGATTCAGCCGTGGCGCCCGTGCAATCGACTATTCTAGGGACGAACCAAAAGTGTTCGGGCTTGACAAGTTCAACGGCGACAACTTTGCTGAGTGGTCCTTCAGAATGGAGAACGTGTTTGACCATTATGATCTGCTGGAGGTGATGGAAGGAACGGAGAAGCGTCCCGAGAACGACCCGGAGAAGAGCTCGTGGGTGCGGAAGAGCGCACAAGGCTATCTCCTACTTGGGCAAGCGTTGGGGAGCACTCAAATCCGTCACATCAAGCCTTTCCAGCGTGAACCAGAGAAGGGACCAAAGGCATGGGCTGCTCTCAAGGGTGTACACACTCCTGCAACAGCGGCGGTAGCTGTGGTGTTGGAACGGCAAATGGCGACGCTACGAATTGAGGAAGATGAACCCGTGGAAGACGGGGTGCAGAAATTCTTCGACTTGTTGACGCGGCTTGAGGGAGCTGATTTGAACTACAGTGAGCTCCAAAAGAAGACCAAGTTGCTGGCCTTACTCCCAGAGTCGTGGTCCTCGCTCATCATTAACCTCAACCGTGATCTGCCCCGTCTCTCGCTTGAAGACGTGAAGCGCGCGATCCTACAAGAGGACTTCCGCCGCCGTGAGTTGGCGAGTGCGGATGGCGCTGGGGCAGCGAGCATCGGCCGTGGATATGGCCGAGGAAGAGGCAGAGGACGAGGGGGAGGAAGATCTGGTGGCAGCAACTTCGGCGGAGGCCGCGGAAGTGGCGGATACGGCAGCGACGACAAGAGCTACGGTCGCGGACGATTTGACAGCGAGTGTCACTATTGTGGCAAGAGCGGGCATATGTGGCGCGATTGCTACAAACTACCTGAAGGATGGACCCCTTCTCAAGGCCAAGAGGGTAGAGGAGCAGGTGGAGGGAGAGGAAGAGGCCGTGGAGGCCGTGGCGGTCGCGGAGGTGGAGCCGCGAACATGAAGAGCGGAGGTAACGACAAGGACCCGAGCGGCGATCGGTACCCGGGTCTTTTCTACTTTGTGTCGACGCAAGTACCGGCTGGTCCAGAGAAGGATGAAGACCTTGAGGAGCCAGCAGCTGTGGGGAAGGTGACCCTACACCCCCTGGACTATTGGGTGATTGATAGTGGAGCTACCTATAGCATGACACCTCGCCCCGACTTGCTCACCGAACTCGAGCCGTCACAGGTAAAGCATGTCACATCGGCTTTGGGGCAGCGAGCGGAGGTGAAAGGCATGGGCAAGGCCATGTTCAAGGGTGCTGATGGAAAGATGGTGGGCCTCAAGAACGTGCTTTGGGTGCGAACCTGATTTCCGTGCGGCGATTGGCAAAGGCCGGCATGGACACGAACTCGAAGGGAGCCAAGACCTACACCGCAAGGATTGGCGACCGGATTCTTTGGGACCTTCATGAGGACAGGGATGTCTACAACGAGATGTGGCAGATCCCTGTGGTCCCCATGCCTAAGGAGAGGCAAGTGGCAGCAAGCGTCAGTGCCAAAGGTGACGCGGTTGGTAGCGGCGATGGCGCGAACGGCCGCGCTAAGGAGAACGAGCTCAAGAAGAGCAAACCTGGAGGGACCAGCAAGCTGTGTGACCATAAGGAGAGTGGTGCAGCAGCCAAGGAGCAGCACAAGGGTGAGGAGAACCTCGAGGCAGCAGCGAAGGAGGACAACGGAGAGAGTATGTGGGGCGCTATTGCGAGCGCGGCATTCTCCAATCCAACTTCGGCTACGGGGGAGTGTGATTGGCTCACCTTGCATCGGCGAATGGGGCATGTGGCCCTACCCATCTTGCAGCAGCTAGTTAAGAATGAGATGGTTGCTGGCATACGTGTGAAGGGGGAGCCTGATGAGGTGCTTGGCTGCCCAACGTGCTTGCAAGCCAAGTTCACCCGATTTCCGTTCCCTAGTTCGGAGGCAACGGCAAAGGCACCACTTGATGAGGTGGTGATGGACGTGGTGGGCCCCCTGAAGCTTGGAGCTGCTGGAGCTGAATATTTCCTCACCATAGTGGATGTATACACTCGCATGACGTGGGTGTATGTGCTGGCGAAAAAGGGCGACGTGGCTGAAACGTTGAAGACGGATTGGTTCCCGATGGTGGAGCGGCAACAAGACCGTCTAGTCAAGTCAATCCGCACCGATCGAGGGGGAGAGTTCCTGAGCAAGGAGTTTGGGTTGTGGCTGAAGAAGAATGGTATTCGGCACTCCCTCACCATACCATGCTCCCCTGCAATGAACGGCATCGCCGAGCGAGCGAACCGGACGATCACGGAGGCGGCACGCGGGTTGCTCATTGAAGCCGGGCTACCCGACTATTTCTGGCCTGATGCGGTGCGGAGCGCGTGTGTGGCCAAGAACAGAGTCTTGACTCATGTGGGAGCAGACAAATGGGTGCCCTATGTGGAGTGGCTTGGAAGGAAGCCAAAGGTGGATATGCTTCGGGTGTTCGGGTGCATGTGCATGGCACTCGTACCTAAGCATCTTCGGCACAACAAGCTTGGTGCCAAGGCGGTGTGGGCCGTGCACTTGGGCATGGCTCAAAACAGCAAGGGGTGGCTTCTTTGGGATCCATTCACCAAGAAGTTCATGGTGAGCAGGGACTGCAAGGATTGGAACTTCATGTACATGGATTGGAAGTTCATGGAGAACTTCATGTACAAGGATTGGAAGGCGGAGAATGAGGCGAAGATAGGCGTGCAGTTTGGGGAGGTGAAGAGTTCCGGCTTGGAGCACGTGGAGCTGCCTTTATAGCTGAGCAGTGGCAGCACCACCACAAGGCAATCTTCCCTTGTGAATGGGGGAGAGGAGGCCAAGGATGCAGAGGAAGAAGAGGAGGAGGTGCAGCAAGTGAGCGAGCGTGCACCGACGCTCCCTTCCCGCACTACGAGTGCTCCACGGAACCGCACCACACCGCAGCAGCGCCAAGGCCTTCAAGTCCCTGCAGCTGAGGAAGGAAGGGTGAAGAGGAAGGTTCAATCCCCCAATAGGCTGACCTATGATGCGCCATGGAAGCAGGGCAAGACGGCCCTAGCTGGAGCGGCAATGATGGTCGGAGACGACGAGGAGAGTGACTACGAGGAGTGTGCCTTCGCATTCTTCTCTCCGGTGGAGATGCCGGAAGAACCTGTTGGTGTAAGGGCCTAATAAACTCAAGCTATTAGGACTTAATCAAACTAAAACCTCTCCTCGGGGTCACCTCCAAGGGTCCCTGGGTGCCTGGTACAAGACCAGCCCCTATCCTCGGGTCCGAGTTTGTAGAGAGAGGGATCAAGAAGGACTTAGTCAAAACAGCAAGAGTACCTTGAACGTCGCGCAGCGTGCCGTGCAGACCGTCGATCGGATTAAGATGAGAATTCGCTATATCGAAGCTCGCTCCAAGAGCTTTAAAATGAGCCAAGTTGCCTCGCGAAAAGTTCTGCCATTACGAAGTTATGGCTCAGACGGTGTTTGCCTAGCATTAGAGTGCTAGCGTACTAGCGTTGACTCGGGTAGCATTCCGCCAACGAACCGCGTAGAAACGAAATTCCAGCGAGGAAGGAATTCACATGAATCAATTTGACTATATTCAGGTACAAACAGAGAAGGATTAAATAGTTCTAGCTAGCAAGGACCTTGGGAATCAACCTGGGAACAACCAGGGATGATCCCAAATAATTCCAAGCAACAGAACCAACCTGGCTGGACAAAATAGCAGGTGGTAGGTTGGTAAACAACCTCTGGTTCTGTTTTTCCAACCTGGGAAAACAACAACCAGGTTCAGGTTCTAAAAACAGAACCTGTTTTGTCTTTGCCCAACCAGCCAAATGCTGGTTCCGCTGGTTTCCCCTGGCCTTGTAGCATGCAGATACAGACAAACAACATCCAACCTTCACCTAAATTGTACCCCTATAGTGCCTTCCCTGCTACACTATAGTTAACCAAACAAAACAGTACAATTCCGAGTTGGATAGAACTGAATCTGCGCAATCAACTCAACCGAACTGCAAAGCTTCCATCTTGGGTTCCTTTGCGAGCTCGTCCTTCCTGCTTGCACTGTTCATAGCGCATACAATGTTGTGCCAAAGCGCACATTGCGCGAGTACCTGCAAATGCATCAAGCGAAAAATGCGAAAGCAAACAAACACACGAACACACCATTCACACGCAAATGCATTCGCACACGCATACTCGTACAAACAGACGGCAGGATGTCGTGCAATGTGCATTTGCACCCAACAGAACCAGCAACTCTCAGGAAGGCCTTGGAGAGTGGTGATGCTGAGGAGTGGAAGAAGGCAATGGAGAGTGAGCTAATATTGAGGAGAACAACACATACGAGTTGGTGGAGCTACCGGAGGGGCGTACGGCGATTACGTCCAAGTGGCTCTTCAAAATCAAGTCGGATGCCGACGGCGTGATCGAGCGCTACAAGTCTAGGCTGGTGGCCAAGGGGTACCAGCAGAAGAAGAATGTGGACTACAAGGAGCTGTTTGCTCCTATGGTGAAGCCGACGACGCTGCGAACCCTACTCGCGGGAGCCGCGATCAAAGGTTGGGTGGTGAAGCAGCTAGACATCGTAACGGCGTTCCTCAACGGAATCCTCGAGGAGGAGATTTTCATGGCGCAGCCAGAGGGGTTTGACGATGGCAGCGGCAGAGTGTGGAAGCTGAAGAAGGCCCTCTATGGGCTGAAGCAGGCCCCTAGACAATGGTACCTGAAGCTGCGTGAAGTGTTGGAGGAGATCGGCTTCACTCCCTCAACGGCCGATCATTCCTTGTTCATGCTTGGCGAGGGGGAGCAGAGGAGCTTCATGGTGGTGTACGTGGATGACATCCTCATCTTCTCACCCTCCTCTGACCTTGTGAAGGAGGTGATGCTGAAGCTGCAAGACAAATTCAAATGCAAGCCCCTTGGGGACGTGAACTTCTACCTCGGGCTCCACATCGAACGAGACGTGGAGAAGCGGTGCATGCGGGTGCACCAACGGAAGTACCTGGAGGCATTGGCTGCCAACTTTGGGCGGAAAGAAGGCCATGTGGCTACACCCTTTCCCTCTGGGTTCAAGTGTGTGAAGGGACCAGAGGAGGAGAGCGTGGGTGAAGAGGAGAGGCGCCGATTTCACTCGTTGGTGGGCAGCCTCATGTATGCGGCGGTCAACACACGACCGGACGTCGCGTTTGCTACCGGGCAGCTGGCAAGGGTTGTGCAATGCCCTAATGAGGAGCAGGTAGCAGCTGGAATGAGGGTGGCCAAGTACCTTGGCCAAACACCGACTGTTGGGCTGCAATACTCGGCAGCGGCGCAAAGGCGCCAAAAGGGCGCGGATGGTGTTGAACCCGGGCGATTGTTCCTCACCGCCTACTCGGATGCATCATATGCATCAGAACCAGAGGACATGACAAGTGTTGGAGGGTTCATTTGCTGTGTTGGTGGAGGTCCAACTGCTTGGGAGAGCAAGAAGCAGGTTGACCAAGCTTTGAGCTCGGTGGAGTCTGAGTACATGGCACTCTTCCGTGCCGTACGGGAGATTGTGTGGCAGCGGCGTTTGTTGGCTGAATTGGGGGAGGAGCAGCAAGGACCAACCCCTCTCTATTGTGACAGCCAGGGAGCCATAGCTCTAGCCAAGAACCCTGTGTTACATGGTCTGACCAAGCACATGAGGGTGAAGTGGCATTGGACGAGGAGCATGGTGGCCGCAGGTGAAGTTGAGTTGCGCTACGTGAAGATGACAGGGCAGCCGGCAGACATGATGACTAAGAGGCTGGTGGAGCAGCAGCATTGGAAGTGTTGCAAGCTGGCTGGGATGGCTCTGAACTGAGAGAGCAAGTTCCTAAGGCCAACAACCCGAGGGGGAGTTTGTTGGTGCAACCCTACGGTTTGCACTCGGCTTGTTGTCCGTGTGCGTGCATGCATGTGTGCATGGAGTGGTATGAGTGCATGAAATAAATATATATTTCATGCTTATAATGGTGTGTGAATGATGGGTCATGATGTCGAGTGTGTGTGTCAAGTCAATAGCGAATTATCGCTAGTCGCGTGTAACGCGGTCATTTTGTGTGTCCCGCGCGGTTTCTATTTTGTCGTGCGCGGTTTCTATTTTGTCGCTTGTCGAACGTTCGGCGTGTCGCAGGTGTATGCAGCAGACCCATCAAGAACTCAAGGATGAGTTTTGTGATGAAGAACCCGAGCCTTGGTTCAAGCTTCAAGTGTTTTCGAAGCTCGCCAAAAGGCTACACCTCAAGATATTGAAGATAGTTACATTACAAAGTGTAGTGTAACATTTCAGTTGGTGTAGGCCCTTGTGAAGGGTAGTTTCGAGACCCTTCTTGGTTGGGGACAGTGTGGCACTGTTCCCCATCACTGTACCTCGGCTCTTGGGGTTTGTAGGAGCTGGGAGTCCTTCCCAACTCGCAACTCTTCCTAGCTGTTCGTAATTGTGTTTTTGTAAGACTATGTTGCTGCCATAGTGCCGTTCGTTCAATCTGACGCTGTGTCGTCAATTCAGTATGAAATCATGCGACCTAAATTGCCTACTGTAGGGCACGTTAAAACGCTCCAGATCCAAGTTGAATGAGGTCAATTGGAGCTGTGACCAGATCGCTATGATCGTTTAAAGCCGCTGTGCAGAAACCTGACTGCGCACTCTATCTTTGGTTCTAGGCACATTGAAGCCTATTGAAGCCTATTGTGACTATAACATGGACTGGGTGGACCAACCGGCCTGCTGGTCCAATGGATTAGGTGGACCAATCGACCTGCTGGTCCAGTGGACCGGGTGGACCAACCGGCTTGCTGATTCAGTGGATCCGGTGGACCAACCGGCCTGTTGGTCCAATGGACCGGTTGGACCAACCGGCCTGTTGGTCCAGTGGACACGGTGGATCCACCGGCCTGTTGGTCCAACGGACCGGGTGGACCAACCGGCCTGTTGGTCCAGTGGACCGGGTGGACCAACCGGCCTGCTGGCTCAGTTGACCGGGTGGACCAACGGGCCTGCTGGTCCATCGGACCGGGTAGACCAATCGGCCTGTTGGTCCAGTGGACCAGGTGGACCAACCGGCATGCTGGTCTAGTGGACCGAGTGGACCAATCGGCCTGCTCGTCTAGTGGACCGGGTGGACCAACCAGCCTGTTGGTCCAGTGGACAGGGTGGACCAACCGGCCTGTTGGTCCAGTGGACCGGGTGGACCAACCGGCCTGTTGGTCCAGTGGACCGGGTGGACCAACCGGCCTGTTGGTCCAGTTTACTGGGTGGACCAATCGGCCTGTTGGCTTAGTAGATTGGGTGGACCAACCGGCCTATTGATCTAGTGGACCAGGTGGACCAACTGGCCTGTTGGTCAAGTGGACCGGTTGGACCAACCTTCTAGTAGGTCAAGTGGACCGGGTGGAACAATTGTCCTGCTGGTCCAGTGGACCGGGTAGACCAACCGACTTGCTGGTCCAGTGGACCGGGTAGACGAACCGGCTTGCTGATCTAGTGGACCGGGTGGAATAATCGGCCTATTGATCCAGTGGACCGGGTGGACCAACCAGCCTGTTGGTCCAGTGGACAGGGTGGACCAACCGGCCTGTTGGTCCAGTGGACCGGGTGGTCCAATCGGCCTGTTGGTCCTGTGGACCGGGTGGACCAACCGACCTGTTGGCCCAGTGGATCGATTGGACCAATAAGCCTGCTTGTCCAGCGGACCGGACGGACCAACCGGCCTATTGGTCTAGTGGACCGGGTGGACCAACCGGCCTGCTGGTCCAGTGGACCGGGTGGACCAACC